CTTTTGGAATTTTTGGGTTGTGTATTTTATATTCCAAACTCTTGTATCATGGACCTATGTGGGGAAAACATGTATTCTATATATGAAATATATGTTATATGCAATGTGTGGATTTGGGGTTTTAAAATTAAGGTCTGATCAAACTAAATATTACCCAATTAGTGTCATTTTAACCCGATTAGACTCAATTAAAATAAAATGCGCACATTCTACCTAGTAGGATCAAATAGACCCGTACGGACCATTCTACGTCAACTAGTCACATTAATGTCTAGTTATACTTAACTACGACTCATTTAGTATCATTTTGACCCAATTGGACTTCTTAAGGAGAAATAGCCTATTATAGCCTCCAAAAGGACAAAAAAAACCCATTCTACCTCACTTACTCTCATTAACTTCTCATTGGACTAATTGTGACCGATTTAGTACCATTATATCCATTGAGGTCTGATCAAACTAAATAAACCCAATTTGTGTCATTTTGACCAATTAGACTCCTTATAAAGAAATGGGCCTATTAAACCAATTTGGGTCCAATTTGATTAATTACGATCCATTTAGTGTCATTTGGACACGAATGACTCGATTAAAAGAAGTAGGCACACTCTTCTTACTAGGACCAATTGGACCCAATAATGATCCTTAAGAACCATTATACCTCAATTAGTCACATTAACGTCTAGTTATATACTAATTTTGACTCATTTAGTATGATTTTGACCCAATTAGACTCCTCGAGGAGAGATGCGTCGCTTAATACCCATTAGGTTCTAATAAGACTAATCAGGACCTAGTTTGTGTCATTATGACCCAATTGGACGCCTTAAGGAGTAATAGCCCATTATATCCACTAACATGAAATGGACCCAATAAGGACCATTAAGACACATTATACCTCAATTGCTCCCATTAACTTCTAATTAGACTATTTATGACCCATTTAGCACCATGATAACTCAATTAGACTCAAAATGGGGAAATAAGCCGATTATACCCTCTAATGTCTGATCAAACTGAATATGAGCCATCTAGTCCCATTTTGACCCAATTAGACTCCTTCTGGAGAAATATGCCTATTAAGGGTCTAACGAGATTAATTACGATCCACGTATCGTGATTTTGACCCAAATGACTCGATCAAAATTGGTTGTCTCGTTATAAACCCATTAACACCAAATGGACACATTCTACCTCAGTTAGTCACATTAACGTCAAGTCAGACTAACTATGACCCATTTAGTGTCATTTTGACCCAATTGAACTTCTTGAGGAGAAATAGGCCATTATATCCACTAACACCAAATGGACCCTTTAACGACCATTATTACCCATTCTACCTCAATCACCTTTATTAATGCCTGGTTAGAATAATAAGACCCATTTAGTACCATTATAACTCAATTAGAATCAAATTGGAGAAATAAGCCCATTATACCTCAATCACCTGGAATAGAGCTTTACTTGCGAAACATGTTTGGGATATTCTTAGACATCATGATTCTTTGTGGGTACAATGGGTGTATTGTCATATTCTTCGTTCTTCTCATTTCTGGCTGGTTCGGAAGAGCTCTAATTGGTCCTGGATTTTCCGTAAGTTGTTGGACCTTCGAGCTCATTTGTGACATTTTCTTTTCTCCAAGATTGGTAATGGTCGGGATACAAATGCTTGGGAGGACTCTTGGTGGCTTGTGGACAACTTTCGGCCTTCTTATCCTATCGGTTTATACATTCTTGTGGGTTCTCGACTGGCACATCGGTTAGAGAATTACTTATTAGTATTGATGGGGTATGGCCGGAAGAGTGGTGTAACAAGATTACTATGCTCCGTTCTTATACTGTTTCATCTTTAAATGATGTTGTTTGTGATGAAGTTCTGTGGGGGGCTGATTGCACTTCTCGGTCTCTGTTTTCGGTTAGTACTGCTTGGGAATCTTTAGATGGGACTCATCCGATTGTACCATGGTATAAATTGGTATGGTTCTCGGGTCATATTCTTAAGCATGCTTTCTGTTTATGGCTTGCTTGTCAAAGACGTCTCCCCACTCAAGACCGCCTAATTTGGAAGGATGAACCCCCGGATTTGAAGTGTTCGTTATGTGGTAATTGTATTGATAGCCATGCTCATTTATTCTTCCAATGTGTTTTTGCTCGGGAGGTTTGGGAAAGTATGTTGCTTCTTGTGGACTTGAGGACTATGYCGTCGTCTTGGGATCAAATTGTGGATATTCTTTCGGATCGTGCTCGTCGACCTAAGCGTTTAAAGCAGAGGCTAATGGTTGCAGCTTCTGTTTATTACATTTGGCAAGAAAGAAATAAAAGACTTTTTTCTGAAGTTAGCCGCACAACTGTGCAACTTATCACTATTATTAATAATACGATTTCTATGCGTGCGGCTTGGGTGGATAGAAGACGGGCGCCTGGTGTTGCTGTGCTATGATGGGTTTTTGGTGGTTTTGTGGAGCTTGTATGTCTGCTAAGCTCCTTTTCTTTATTTTTTGTTGTTTGGTTGGTTCTATTGGGCTCTGTTCCTTTTGGCTTTTTGTGGCTTGGTATACTTTGGTGGTTAGGTCTTTTGGTTTTCTTGTTGGTTAGGTGGTGGTCACACGGTTTGTCTTTGCTGTAATCCCCTTTTGTATTGTTTATAAAATTGCCTGGTTTCCGTTCAAAAAAAAAAAAGGTCTGATCAAACTAAATATTACCCAATTAGTGTTATTTTGGCCCGATTAGACTCGATTAAAAGAAATGCGCACATTCTACCTAGTAGGACCAAATGGACCCGTAAGGACCATTCTACGTCAACTAGTCACATTAACGTCTAGTTATACTTAACTACGACTCATTTAGTATCATTTTGACCCAATTGGACTTAAACAGTTTGGTTTATGATTCTGTTTTTGAGGATCTAAGTGAGTTTTTAAACTACCATTGATTATCAACTGTTGAGTTTGATATTGGTTTTGAGGTTAAGATGATAAACTGTTTTTAACAGTTTTATGATGTTGTTATTTTGGAATCTGGTTTTGATAAATAAGAAACAGATTTGTGTTCTTCAACAGCCGTGAGAAGTTGCTGTTTGAATCTATTGTTGGAACTGTTTTGGAGAGAATTAAACAGTATCCGGGTTTTTAAAACAGTTTGAAGAGTTTACATAAAAACAAGAGTTTTAAACTGTTTTGGGAGAACAAATTGTTCTTGAGAATAAAAGGTTTTGAGTATAAACCTATGTTGGAACCATGATTTGGTTTGAGGATTATGAACAGGTTCACTCTGACAGGTAACTGAGGTCTGTCTTTGGATGAACTACTTCATATTAATGAGCAGGAGGATATAAGGGTGGAACATCATGTAAAGGAGATAATCTGGAGGGTATAAGGTGGGACGTTCTCGGCATCGCCTAACTCTTACCATGATAACTATTAGAGTTACAACAGATTGAAGTTCTCACTTCTTGGTGATTTGAGGATTTAGAGATGTTGTCTTTAGTAGAAATGATGGTAATGATGTGATGGTAATGGAGATAATATAATTCGTGACTGTTGATGCTTTGGGTAAAAGCATTGATTATGAGGAAACAGAGGAGCTCTGGTTATACCTTGCAAGGACCAGAGGGGCTCTGATTGACCCTCATAATAGAATCAAAGGATACTGGATACTAATTCATTTTGCAAAATTTTTTATGAATTTATGAGTTTGGAAAATAAGCTTTATATCTTTGAGAAGCAAGTTTAGTGCTTTTATTTATTGTTTTAAAATGAATATTTTCATGAGGAACCAGAGGAGCTCTGGTTGGTTCTCATCATTGGACCAGAGGATTTTGGTTATTGATTTGAAGGATGAGCAAGTTTCTACTAAATGTATTAATTGGATTAGAGGTGTTGTATCTATTGTTAAGAGCTTTCGCGTCAAAATCGTATTTTAGATGTTTTAAGAAAAGATTTTTATACTTGGTCTTTTTATGAAAAACAGACAAGAGGAGCTCTGATTGACTTACACGTTGAACCAGAGGGGCTCTGGTTGGTCATGTCTTTTGAACCAGAAGCTCTGGTTAGTACAACCAGAGGCTCTGGTCGAACATGAACTTTTTATAATTGTTTGTTTTATGAAAAAAGCTATCTTATTGATTGAGAGTTTATCTAAAGATCATTTATATTAGTGAAGTTTTGGTTAGTTCAACCAGAGGCTTTGGTCATGAAGACCAGAAGCTCTGGAAGCGAGACCAGAGGGGCTCTGGTCCTGGATGTTGAATTATATTTTAAGTATGGTTTTGTCACACCCCGCTAAAGCGGAAACACGATATGTAACAGGCAAGAGAGTCATAGCAACAGTTTATAAATAACACCATATAAAGTGTTCAAAAGCAAAGTAGTTCATCGACATAACTAAAATTAGAATTTTACACAACGTTCTCAAAACACTTCAAAATCTGACTTAATCGTTCCTGACTCGAGTATGCTCCCGAAAATCCAAACAACTTTACTTAGAACCTGAAAAGCATGGAATAAAACAAAGTCATCTACAAAGAGTTGGTGAGTTCACGGATTTTCACATACA